ATAAGTAGAGGTACCACTGTACTAAAGACATCCATTAAAGTCTACGATAAATACTGTAAAAAGAGATTGGAGAGGGATTTCAAGAGAGTAAGCTGTTTGCTCTTCTACACATCAAAAGCAATGCAGTCATGCCAGAAGCCCAGGGCTGGGAGCTGTGGGTGCGCTAGGCACACAGTTTATAGTAGTCTCTTGAAATCTCTTTTTCTCCAGTCTCTCTGCTCTGTGGATGGGACGGGGGGAAGCAAGCGATTTCTGTATGCAATCTCTCCTTTGCCTGACCCTTTCCCACTGCTGGCATAATTGCATTGCTTTCAGTGTGTAGAAGAGCAAACAGTTAAATCTCTTGAAATCTCTTCCTCTCTAATCTTTCTGCTCTGTTGGGGGGGAGGGGGAAACAGTCAGGCAAGAAGAGATTGCCTACACAAATCGGTTGCTGTGATTGCATTGCATGTGATGTGTACAACATAGTGAGCAGGCACTCAAGCATTCCAAAGGATGGGGGAGTGGTTAGGAGGCAAACAAAAGCCAAAGGTGTGAAACAGTCTTGTCTCTTTCCAGTTGGAAAGCATAATCGTGGTCACATGGTTTCCCACAGTGACCACTTCGCTTAGTAGTGCAGTTGCCAGTCACAATTAGGGTCATTAAGCGAGGACTATCTGCATGGAAAAATAGGTTTGCAATACATATTTTCATGTATGGATATCTTGATGCATATCCACAATTAAATATGATTCAGTGCCTTGACTTAAAAAATATAAACCACTGCTTCTAATATGCGTATTTGGGCACTTTCCCCTTTACTTCACTGCTCCCCATTTAAATCTCTCACTCTCTCTCTCTCTCTCTCTCTCTCTCTCTTCATTTCCTCAATATGGATTCATATGTGATGAAGACCTAGAAACATCAGAAAAAATGTTAAATTGATCTGAGTTTCACTCATTGAAGAGACACTAACAGGGCTAATAACTACCAGTACTTGCACAGGATTTACCACTTTTACACCAACTTGAGGAATGGGGCAGTGGCATCTTTGAGTTGTAAATAAAGTGTTGGACTTTATCCAAGTGGCCCACTTGGGTTAAAATTATTCCTCTACAGGAAGCATACTAAATGTTCTAGGCAAGTTGCTGTAGTATTTTGTAGGTTAACATATGCCATCTGTTATAGGATTAAAGTATCTAAAGCCTTATGGCAGAAGGATGAGATGTGATAAGCATGGTAATTGATGCCTCTGAAGACTGAGAAACCAAGTCTTTTATTAGGCTGATATGATTATTGCCAGAGGAGAAATGCAGATGGAGTTACATTTAGGTGTTCTGGAAGAAATGTTTATATTTGCAACATCTACTTATAGATAAGTAGCTATTTGAAGATAGGCACATTTCTGTAAGCAAATGTGTCAGATGTCAAATATAAAGTATAGGTAGTCCTCACTATCCAACAACAATAGGGACCAGAATTTAGGTGGCTAAGCAATTTGGTCATTAAGTGAATTGGAGCTGATTTTTATGACCTTTTTACGATGACCGTTAAGCAAATCACTGTGGCTGTTAAGTGAATCATGTGGTTGTTAAGCAAATCATGTGGTCATTAAGCAAATCATGTGGTTGTTAAGCAAATCCAACATTCCCAAAGGATGTTTTTTGCCAGAATTTGCTTAACGACCATGTCATTCACTTAACCACATGATTCGCTTAACGACCATGGTGATTCACTTAACAACCATCATAAAAAGGTCACAAATCGCAATCACATGACTGCAGGGGTCATAAAGCATTTTTCCCAAGGCTGTTGTAATTCCAGACCATCATTAAATGAACAGTCATTAAGCGAGGATTATCTGTATATATTTGACAAACACAGGCATCAAACCCTGAGGAAAATCCAAATGCTAACTCTTGCCTCACTTTCTCATTCACTATTCTCTCAACACATGCATGAGGGTATATATATTCCTGTCTTAGGACAATATACAACATACACTTTTTGATCCCTGAAATACCACAAAACTCTTGACAGTTCTTCCTTGTAAGGGCTAAAGCTGGTGAGGTAGGAACCTGTTTAGGGTAACCCAGTCCTGCTGGTGAGGGACAGGCCACTGGATAAGCTTCAGGGCCACTGTGAGGATTATTTTTGCTATATGGCAGATAAAGTCACTCAGAGCCACTCAATACTGGCCTCTGACTCATCTGTTTCAATTGAGATGTCCAGGGCAGGATCTTGTGTGATTATCTGGAATGAGTTTGATTTGATGACTCCCAAGGAAGTGAACAGGGTTCTCCAGTCTGTTAGCTCAGCCACCTGCTTGTTAGATCCAAGTCCCTCATGGATGGTTAAAACTGCCGGAGAGGTGATCTGTGGTTGGATCTATGCAGTGGTATCAACTTCTTTCAGTGAAGGGGTGGTTCCACTAGCCTTGAAGAAGGCTGTAATACACCCTCTCCTCAAGAAGCCATCACTGGACCCAGTGGTCCTGGACAGTTACTATCCAGTCTTCCCTTTTTAGGGAAGGTGGTGGACAGGGTGATTGGGCTTCAGCTTTGGATGCATTTCAGTCAGATTTCAGGCCAGGATTTAGCGTGGAGACAGCATTGGTCACACTTCTGGATGATCTGTGGTGGATCTGGGATGGGAGTGGTGTATCCATCTTTCTGCTCCTTGATATCTCAGTGACTTTCAGTACTGTTGGCCATGGTATTCTTTTTGACCAACTTCAGAGTTGGCAATGGGAGGCACTGTTTTATGACGGTTCTCCTTCTTTCTCTGTGGCCGGTTTCAATTGGTGTTGATGAGTAGGGAGAGATCTCTCCCATAGCCCTTCGCTTGTGGGTTGCTGCAGGGCTTGATGTTCTCTCCCCTTCTGTTTAAACATCTACATGAAACTGCTAAGTGAGGTCATCTACAAATTTGTATCAGGTATGATCATAACGTGGATGATACCCAGTTTTGTATCTCAGGTGGCCTCTGAGTGATGCAGTCAAAGTCCTGAATCACTACCTGGAGTTTCTGTGGGTCTGCATGGGGAGGAACAGACTCAGGGTCAATCCTGACAAAACTGAGTGTTTATATTTATATGGCTTCTGGGTGCAATTCAAGGTGCTGGTTATCACCTTTGAAGCCCTTCAAGGCATAGGACCTGGCTATATGAGGAACCACTTATCTTCAGTTGTCTGTGCTTGTCTAATACAGTCCAGCAGGGTAGGTGCATACTAGGTCCCATCAGATAAATGACACAAAATGTCATTTTGTGGAATCCAGGAAGTACACCTAATCTGTTGCAGTTCCTGCCCTCTGGAATGATTTCCCCCCAGAGATTTGTATGGCTCCTTCCCTTATGTTGTTCAGGAAACTATTGAAGACCTGGTTGTTCTCCCAGATGTTGGGGACAGAGTGATTGTGGAGTCTCCTTTTGTCCTTTTGCCTGTTTGTTTTGTTTTGGTCTTGTTTTGAATATTTTACTCTTCCAGTCAGTTGTATCTTTCATATTTTTTTTGGTATATATTGGTTCTTAGTTGTAAGCTGCCCAGAGTCACTTGGAAATCAGGTGGCCAGATAAAAAAATAAATATATAAGATTCAGTAGTCAGTTTTCTGCTTAGGATTTGGTGCATCATAGAGAAGTCTCAGGCTTGACTTCTGGCTAGTCTCTGTCCCAGAACTGATCTATAAAGAATGTTTTTTCTGTTTGATGTTTGGTTCAAGTATACACATAGGCTTAAATATGTTTCCTTAATTTATGCATGATTTAGCAGCTATAGTACACAGACTTAGTAAACAAAACCACATGACATTTAATATATTGCATTTAAACATGGTTAGTTTTGCTGTGAATCATGATATTTTTATAAGAAAATAGTCATCAATCTTGTTTGTGTATTAATATATTTTTGTGTAATTCTGAACTATGCCACACAGTGTCTCATATTTGGATTATTTTGAAAAAAAATTATAAGAAAATATATTTTTATATATTCATATATGCAGGTAATATATGCTTTGAACACAAAAAATGATGAACATGAAGCTGCTATGCAAGCTCTCAAGGATGCTCATGAAGAAGAAATTCAACAAATTCTTGCAGAAACCAGAGAAAAGATTTTGCAATATAAGAGTAAAGTTTCTGAAGAAATGGATCTAAAAAGAAAGATCCAGGTTTTAGAAGAGTCTTTGGAAGATCACAAAAAGATGAAGCATCAAGCCTTAACTGAATTTGAGGCTTATAAGGACAGAGTTGAAGATATGCAACTTTGTGCAGAAGCTCAGCATGTCCAGCGTGTTGTAACTATGTCGCGTGAAGTGGAAGAAATTAGAAAGAAATTTGAGGAAAGATTACGAAGTTTTATACAGCTGCAATTACAGTTTGAGAAGGATAAACGTTCAGCTCTTGAAGAGCTGAAAGCTGCACATAGACTTGAGATCCAAGAACTTCTGAAGACACATCAAAATCAGAATGTTACTTTAAACAAGGGACAGGAAAAATTGGAAGAATTGCGCAGGCAGGATGTAGAACAGTTGAACGCCAAAGTAGAAGAGCTAAGAATGGAAAGAAAAAAGCTCATTGAGGACTATGAAAGTAAACTCAGCAAAGCTCAATCTTTCTATGAACATGAGCTTGATACTATGAAAAGATCACAATTGTTTACAGCTGAAAGCCTGAAAACCTGCAAAGAAAAGGAAGTGGAGCTAAGAAAGGAATTTCAGAGTCAGGAATCAGTTATACGAAAAAACCTGGGGAAGCTTAAAACTGAGTTACAAATGGTTCAGGATGAAGCAGGCGGTCTACGAGAAAAATGCCAGAAGCTTCAAGTGGCTCTAAGTACTGCAGAAAACAATGTACAGGTGAGATAATTATTGTTATGCTATTTCTTTAATAATAAACAAATACAGTTGTTAGAGTGATATTGATGAAGTTTCTTGTTGCTGGGCTGGGTGTAAAATCAGATTAGTTTCCCTGCAGTAGATTGACAGACCAAGTAATTCCTTCCCATTGTATTTAGAGTTGTGACAAAGTTTGCTTTTCTATATAAAACTGCAGTAGCTTTTCTTCAGTGAAGGCCAAAGGCAACTGAAATAGTTACTGTTCTGTTAAAATTAATGGTTTGGATTTTTAGAGCTCATTGAGGAAACAATTTAGTTTCTAATATCCTTTCCCTTCCCTGCAGGAGCCACTCACATTCTGTTCTGTTTTATAACATCTACTGAGCTAAAGGAGTGGCTTAAGAGGCTGCAGTAGAAAAAAGTGAGTAGGGAAAGTCTTGTTTCCCTATATCTAAGTAAAGGAGTAGATTTTCCCTCCCTAAACCTGGACTTTCACATAAATATTGTTGTTATTCTTTATTGCATTTATATTCCACCTTTTCTCTTGTGCGCTCTCAATTATCTCACCTGTATGCTGCTTACTTGGGCATCTTCTCTGGTGGAAGTTGAAATGTTATATATGTATATGCAGACACACATGCATATGCACATGAGCACAGATCACAGTATTAATTGTTTTTAATTGATTAAAATTAAGGCTATATTGTGTTCATATTTTTCCCCATTTTTCTTTGAATATTTTAGATATTTGTATGGGAATAATAGTGACATGTTGAAGAGTGGAATTGAAACAACACAATGCTATAAATGTCAGTTGATGAAAAAAGTGCATACCAGATAAAAATGCTAAATAATAAATTGGATAAAGGTTGAAATATGGATGTGGTTGTTTATGGAATGGCTGTGCCTTTTCTAAAATGTGTGAAGATTGCATTTGTAATCTTCTTGCAATTTGACAATTGAAAGAATGCTGTTTATTGTTCCCTAATGCAAAGGAAAATGTAGCAAAAGTAAATGAAAAGACCTAAGTGGGGTTATTTTATTAAGGCTGACTGGAAAGATGCTTGGAAGAATTGTGATTGAAGGTTACAAGATGTGACAATGAGTAAAAGTTGTGAAGTGTAGTGTGTGTAGTATTTGTAGAGTTATGTAATGTGTAGGCAGTATATACAGACTAGATTTTTTTTAGAAAGCACTAAGAAATGCATGAATGTGAGAAAGTTCATGTACATTTGTTGATTTAGAAAAAGCATATGATGTAGTGAATAGGCTTGAATTATGGAAATTTTACTTGAATACAGAATTGACAGTTAATTGCTGAATGCAGTAACAGTGCATGCATAAAAAATGCTTCACAAATTGTTCAATACTGGGCAACAAAGTAAGACAAGGATGTGTGATGTCCTTTTGTTTGTTTTATGGATTTATGGATAAATGTGTAATGAATGCTTGCTGTGATGCTAGAGCTGTGCTGGCTGCGGACATGAATGTACATTTGTATTTTGATATGCAGATTATGCCATGTTGTTGGTTGAGATCTCAAATGCTAGACAGATTTTTTAATGCAGTGAACGATATGGATGTGAAAATCAGTGTATCAAAGACTAAGAGCATTATATTTGATAGGACAAATGGAATGATTGCAAATTGTATATAAATGACCAAAAACTTTGTTGAGTAGATGAAGATGTCTGTCCTTGATAGAATGTTTAGTAAATTTTAAGACATGCAAATGGTAGGTGAACGGTGGATAATGTTTTTTCTTTTATGAAAATGTTAGAAATGAATTTTGAAAGAAATGAAAATGACTGTATATAAAAGTATGCAAACACCTGCTTTGTTATATAGAAGTGAGAATTAGGTGTATCAGGAAAAGTATAAAAATAATTTGGATGCAGTAGGAATAGATATTGAATTGCCCAAAGACATGCCTATTGGGTTTGAGGATAGACTTGAACCTGGGTCTCCCTGGTGCCAATCTAGCACCTTAAGCAGTCTCACACAATCACACTGGGTTCCATTATGAGGGGAGAGTGAATGGATTAGAAATAGAGGAAAACTGAAAAACTAATGACTGGAGTTGATGAAATTCTGAAAGAAAGGTAAGAAGTTTAAAGAAAAAAAAGTCAGAGGATGAAGCAGTGCAAAAACAAGGTAAAAGCAAGGATAGTGTTCAAGGATAGAAAGGTGTGGAGAAGTATAGTAAATGGTATACACTAGTTTTAGCTATATTTGCTCTCCTTTTTCTTATTTCATACTTTTAATTTCTTTGGTTTACAATATGTTCACATTGCATACCTTGAAAAGGAATAGCATATGTATGTATGTATGTATGCACAAATGGCAGCAAAGGGGAAGAATAATTTATTCTATCAGTAGTATCTATTTTGTGGGAATAGTATTGAATACCATCCAGTGTTTTCTTTCCCTATCCCTAAATCTGAAATTCCATTTTTTGAAATTCATATTGCTTATTGCTTATTTTTGCACGTTGCATAACATTACCTAGCTTTCTGTAACTTTTTAAAGCAACTGCCTTTTCCCCCTAGAATCATCTGTAGCTTCAGGATAATCCTGGAAAATGATGCACTTCATTTAAGGAGTTGTAGACATATGAAGACCAGGCATATTCCAAGATACCTTTTTGCCTTCAAATCCAAAGCCCTGCACAGCCCTAGTATATATTCGTTGTATCACTACTTGCATTTCTACCTCCTGTAGTTCAATTATTATTATTTCTTCATCACATTTTAAGAATCTAATTTCTTTAAACTCACTTAGTGATTTAAGCCTGCCATTCCCTGGCAGCCCAACATGCCCACAGAATAAAATCCCCTGTATACTTCCATGAGGTCCTGGGAAAAAAATGAGCTGTAAAGAAATAGCTACTTGATATTCCAACACATACAGGTTCCCTATCTATAACTTATCTATAACTCAGGTCCTCTGAGTGGTCATCTGTACTTGTTTGCATTCTATTGCTACTACTATACAGAATACAAATATAGCTTACTTTAAAATGATAAGTACGTTTGTCTGCGTAGTTCATCTCCTTTTCTTTCTACGCTATTAAGGAATTTTAGGTATTTTATACTTGCAAATTTGAGATAAATTATTGTGCTAAATGTTGCCATTGTTAATTTTTGCCCAATGGCATATCAATTTTCTCTTATTGTCATCTAACATAGCTTGAAGAAATGATAAAAACTATATATGATTCTGATTTGCAATCAGTGGCAAATATATTCGTCAATTTCAGCCCTGCTTCTAAGCTGCTTTTTAAATTGTCATGCTTTCCTTAATAGTTTTATTTTAAATAGGAAATTAATATCTATCCTAATTAACTTTAATTTCAAATTTTGAATGAGCTTTTCTTAGAGCAGAATGCTAACATATCTACAATATTATTGGAACAACTCATCAAAATATCCTTAGATTTGTTAAATGTATCATTACTTGGCAACTTATATTATATGAAGCCTTTTTGATGACTGCACAAAGATTGTGGAATTCTGCTTTAAGGAGAACCTATTTGGTTTATCCTAGCAATCTCTTTAGGTAAAAATTTGTTATTATCTAATCTCTTTATAATTTACTGTTTCAGTGTATTTCTTTTATAATATTACAATATGTTTATTACTGTTAAGTGTAATCCAGCTTTTTGTTCTGTCAGTAGAAGACTTCCATTAGAGAATAAAAGATGTATTATCAGCAATTTGCCCTCCGTTTGCATCTACTTTGCTTTGGATCAGATTACTTTGGGTCAGATTGGAGTAGGGCTACACTGGAAGGTGGAAAACCACTGAACATCTTTTTCCTTCTTCTATATATGAAATTCTTTTGCTGGTGGAGGGAAATTTGTGATATTCTACACAATGTTTTTCTTTTATTTTAAAGGCCTTTTGCAGGGGTTCTTGGGACCAAAACACAGCACAGACTTGAAGAAAATATTTCTCTACAAGGCTATATGAGAAAACTGAAATAAATCCAGTTTTTTTTCCCTATTTGAACAAGAATTCAAATAAGATCTTGCATAATCTCTGGCTTAAGCTGAAACACAAGGACTGCTTTAGAACTGATCTATTATAACATTTCATGTATGTTCCCATTTTATGGAGGATAGTGCTGTTAGATTGGATGTTTTACTTTTAATCACAGATCTTTGGTCCAACTCACTGTGCAGTACAAATGCACTCATTTTTTCACTAATCACTGCTAATTATGGACTATTGTGAATAATGTAAATCATACGTATTTATCAGAATACCTTTGTTATCAAAAGTGAAAGTGTAGGTATGTGTTTGTCAGACTTCTATGCAAAAGTCACACAAAACATGAAAATTTCAGAACTATCTGACAAAATGAATGCAAATCATATGCAAGCAAGGAAGGAACTGCCTTTGTTCTGTATATTGGTAATATCCCTCTATGCTCAACTGCCATCTGCACTGGTAAATTTCATTCACATAATTTCAATTATAAAAGCTTTACAGTGCACCTTTAATAATTTTCTCTGTTCTCTTAGGCTCTTCAAAAACAACTAGATGATGTCAAAGAGGAGGAAATGTCATTGTTAAGCAAACACAAAGAGGTTGAAATTGAGTTAGCAGCTGCAAGAGAGCGCTTACAACAACAAGCCACAGAGCTAGTACTAAAAGCTAGTATGTGTGTATGTTTCTATTACTTTGTACATAATCCATCTTATTACTGTTAGAATGTTTCTTTCTATGTAATATTTTGATGCATAAGACAAATGTTACAATTTTTATACAAAAGTGTCTTCATTTCTTATTTTTATTAAAAGTAATTTCAATTTTGCAGTCTCTGTTTCCATTGTTTAGGTGAAATATAGATCCAGCACAATCTGTAGGCTTCATTATTCAGTGAGGCTTACTATTAGCAAATATGCATAGGATTGCAGCCTTATGACCTAAGTCTTACAGTGGGGCAAAAAAGTATTTAGTCAGCCACCAACTGTGCAAGTTCTCCCACTTAATAAGGATGAGAGAAGCCTGTAATTTTCATCATAGGTATACCTCAACTATGAGAGACAAAATG